CCATCGGGGGCCCCTCGAAGACCAGGAACAGCATCTCGTCCGGGCCAACCCCGACAAACCGCTCCTCGTCCTCGTCGAAGATCTCGGTGGCCCCCCAGACGGCGGCTCGCTCGGCGAAGTCGACCCCGAACAGCGACCCCAGCTTGCGGCTCCGGAACTGGTAGAAGCCGTTGTAGAGGTCGACCGAGGCCGCGTGGACATCCAGCGGCTCCCCGTCGCCGACCGCGCTCTCCGAGAGGTCGAGGGAGCCCGGCGCCGCCACGGTGCCCAGCCACGCGTGGGGCGGGCGGCGACATATGCGGTTGGCATCCCTCGCACCGACGATGAGTCGAAGTGACCCGTCCTTCTTTGAAACGAAGAAGATGCCCATCCTCGCCCTGATGGAACGCCGGAGCCCCAGAAGCCCGAGCTCTCGAAGCCGAGAGAGAAGGCGGAAGCGCTCCTTCCAGGTGAAGCGCAGCTTCGGGTCCCAGTAGGGCGTGAACGGTGTCTCCTGCTCATTCGTACGCTCCAGGTCGGCTCCATCACGGAGGATGTGCTTCTCGGGGCCTGCCAGCATCTCGCGCTGGGCGGTCGGCACCAGGTCCAGCACGTCCCGCGCCGTGATGCCGCACTCGAGGATCTTGACCCGCTCGTAGGCGCACGAGCCCAGGTAGCTGGGCTCGAGGCCATGCAGGTCCTTGGTGCGCAGGAGCTCTTTGAGGGCCCCTTGCTCGCTGAGGTCGGCCGGGCGTCGCCCAGCTGCCCCAACTCGACGCGCCGCCCGCTCGAAGACCGACTGGCTGCTCGGTCCGAGGGGGCGCTCTTCTGTTGCACTTCGCCCCCGCCCAGCTGAGCGAAAAGGGCGCGACGGCCCGGCGTCTGGGGCATTGAGGGCCCGCAGCACCGTGTGGATCCGCCGCTCACGGCTCGCCCGCCTCCTGAGCCTGTGTCGGAGGTAGCGGGGCAGTCCATGTAGTTCAAGCCGGATTTGCTCTGGTACCAAAACTGGGAAGGGCTCTCCATGCCATCGGAAACCCTTCTGCTCCCCGGGCATGGCGGCGCCGCCGTGCCGGGCCCGGCGCCTGGGGACCCAGCGCCGGGCGCGACGACGCCACCAGTCGGGAGGGCTACTTGCCTCCCGCGCCAGGCGCAAGACCTTGCTTGTCCGCCTGGCGCTTCTCGTCCGCCGCCCTCTCCTCCCGCCGCAGCCGCTGCTGCTTGAGGAGGAACCCTTCGTCCTTCTGACGCTCGGCCACCCACCTCGTGAAGTTCCTGCTGGTCACCTCCCCTCCCGTGCCGATCGGGTGAGACATGATGACCTCGAGCCCTTCGAAGTCCGGCGCCTTCGGGTTGCGCCGAACTGCCGCCTCGATCTGGATCAGCCTCCGGATGTGCATCTCGTTGGACAGGCCGTTCGTCAAGTCGTGCTGATCCACCGACTGCGCCACAAAGAGGGCGCCGCACAAATGCCGAAGCTCTCGAGCCAGCCTTGACTTCGAGGAGACGCCACTCTTGGCCTCCGAGTCGAGGTTGTGAGGCACGAAATTGAAGCCAACCCTCAACATGTTCAGCATATACTCGTCGGCCGCCTCTGGGCCCTCGAACGGTTCGTAGAGCATCTTCTGCTTCGTCTGCTTCTTCGTCGCTGCGTCCGGGTCGAGGAACCTCATCCCCCCGATGATCCCGAACGTCTCCAAGAAGACGAGGATCGCACCCTGGACCCGCCCGCTTGTCCGACAACCAAACCTCCAACCTCTCGTCGCTGACCTGCTGGATCAAGACACACTCGTCGTCGATCGTGACCCAGCCGACCCTCTCCCCCAGCGTGCAGCCCTCCTGATCCCGAAGGGCGGCCAGAGGGACGACCTCCCCGAAGGCCTTGTGGGCCGTGTCCGCGACACGCCACTGTGCGTTCTCCACTGCGGGCACAGGCCCACCAGCGGCCTTGAACCCCGTCAAGTCGAAGCCTGCGACCTCCGCGAGCTCGTAGGCCTCGGCCCTGATGCGAGCCAACTCGCCCTCGTCGATATCCTCGTCGAAGACGGACGCCTCGCGTAGGTACTGTGGGTCGATCGGCTCGTCTCGCCGAACGATCCTGACACGATGAGCTGAGAGGTCCGCCGCCTGCACGGCCAGCGTCGGCGAGCAGACGATCCATCTCCCTTGGCCCCCAGGGATGACAGAGATGCGGGCGTGCCAGTTCAGCCCGTCCTCGTCCCCGAAGAAATCTATGAGTACTTGCTTCTCTGGAATGTCCAGAGCCCTATGCTGCGCCATTCCTCAACCGAAGAGTGGTCGGAGTCGTAGCGAGGGGCCCTAACGCCCCCGAGTCTTGAAGAGGCTCAGCTTCAGCAGGAACGCTCGGTCGACGATCACGTCGCGACACCAGTCGCCCCAGACAGCACCCGCCCGGGCCGCAGCCCAGCGCCAGGAGGCAGAGGGCGAGGATGAGGAGCCACGGGTAGCCGCAGTCCTCCGACGGGCACTCCGCGCAGGCCTCCTGCGCCGGGCACGTCGCTGGCACCTGCCCCCGAGCAGACGCCACGAGCTCGCCCACCAACTGGTAGCAGGCGCTGGAGTCCGGGCAGACGAGGCCCGGGCAGCTGGGGCACTGCTGCTCGGGGCAGCTGAGCGAGACGTCCGGGCACCGCTGCCCGAGCCCCGTGAGATCCCGAGCCACGGCCCAGAACAGGTGGACGGCGGCCGCGGGATCCCCTCCCATGCGATTGTCGCCGACAGGGGGCCCCAAATCACTGTGAGCCAATACGATTAAGGAGAAGGACAGGAAAGAGAAAGAAGCAAGCTAGGGGACAGCAGGTGAAATGACAGGATCCTGTGTTTTCAGCTTGCCGACGCCCGCTGCCACAAAATGCTGCTACAATCTCTCCTGTGGAGGCGACACTCGGCACCGCCTCGGGTCAGTGCTGTATTCCGAATCTACAAACGTGTGACGGATGAATATATATATATATATATATATATATATATATATATATGTGTATATATATACATACGTATATACACACAAACTCCCGATCAACCGCAGAGCGGCGGCTACTCGTTATTTGTCGAGCGCGTCGCGCGAGGGGGTCGCGCTTCGCGCATCAGTCGCTATGCTACATCCGCTGGGGTGGGGGGGGGGCTGCATGAACAGAATAACCTGTGGTTTCTGGGGGCCTCCTCGGGCTTCCCATGTGCCTCCTGGAGCCTCCTGGGGCCTCCTGAGGCTTCCTGCAGCTTCCTGGTGCCTCCTGGAGCCTCCTGGGGCTTCCTGGGGCCTCCTGGTGCCTCCTGGTGCCTCCTGTGGCCTCCTGGGGTCTCCTGGGGCCTCCCGGGGCTTCTTGGAGCGTTTTCTGGGAGAGTGTGGAGCCAGCGCTGCCGGGAGAGTGTGGAGCCAGCGTTGCCACCTCTCCTGAGGCGACCAAGTCTCCCCCAGAGGCCTCACAGACGGCCCAAGACGGCCCAAAAGGCCCCCAAGAAGCCTCCCAGTCGGCCCAAGAGGCTCAAGAGGTCCTCCAGGAAAGCCCGAAGAGGCCCAAATCATGAGTTTGCCTTTGGTTTTTTAAGGCTTTGGGCGTTTCCTTCTTTTCTATCTTCCGACGGCCCGAGACGGCCCAAGAGCCCCCCAAGATCGCCCCCAGAGCGCCCGAGGGGCCTCCAAGATGCCCCCAGAACGACCCAATAGGCCCCCAAGACAGCCTCAAAAACGGCCTCAAGATGGCCCGAGAGGCCTTCAAGACGCCAAAAAAGGCCTCCAAGGCGGTCCTCGAGCATCCCAAGAAATCCCCAAATCGGTTCAGAGAGGCACCCAACACGGCTTCCGACAGCGTCAGACGGGCCAGGAACGCTCCAAGACGGCCAAAGAGGCCCCCAAGAGGGCCCCCAAGAGGCCCAAAGGAGGCCTCCAAGATGTCTCCAAGAGGCCCCAAGGAAGCTCCCAGGAGGCTCCAAGAGTGCACCCAGAGGCTCGCAACAAAACTGATCTTCCCCGCCATCCTTCCCCAACTGTTCCCCAAACAACGGCTGGGGGAACACATGGTCTGATAGCTTGGCAGAGCTCTGACCACAGCGTCCGGCCACATGGGCGATTCCACAAGGCAGGGTGCGGCGATGATTCGCCGTATGCGCCTTCGATGATCTTCTTCTGCCAGGATGCCATGAATTCATTTCGCATGTTTTCGGCAACTAGGGAGAATGACCAATGACTCCATGCGGAGATCGGCGAACGAGTGGCAAATGGGATGGCAGCAAAGCGTCCCGCGTGTGATCGTCCACGCACCAGCAGAAGTGGCTGGGGCCCCCGGCCTGGAAGAGCGCGCGCCTGGAGGCTGACTGGACAAGGCCTCCCGAAGGAGGCCGCAGACTGCAGGCCAAGAGCGCGGCTGCTCGAGGGAAACGACAGACACTGGGAAAAGCAACGCGGAACCCGAAGTGCAGCGAGAAGCAACGCTTCCCAATGAATTGCCCGAGCGAAAGTCAGCGAAAATGCGCCATGGGCGCCGCTCAACAGACGGGGCTCCAGGTTCAGTGTGAAAAGACGCGACGGACTCTCACTTCAAAGTGGTGTAAAGGTGGGCATCTGGACATTGGGCAGAGCTCTGCGGAGCCACCGTTGCTTATCTAGCGGATCATCTCACCGACTTGTTTGTGTGTGCAACGCGCGAGCTCTCACGAATGCATGTCCCCCTTCGCCTCCTGCTCCTCCTTCGAATCTCCCTCCTCTTCCTCCCGAGGCATGCTTACGAGAAACAAAATTGGATGGGAGTATGCAGCGCGTCAGCCCGTCCGAGTGGCCAGCTCACATTGCAAATGTGGGCAATGAAAATGGGGAAACGACGATGCTTTCCCTCTCCCATCGTGCAAGCTCGCCAATTACTCGAGCTCGAATGGCCGGCCAGTGGTGACGAGTGGGAGGGAAGGAGAAATAGGACGGGAAGAAAAAAAAGGAGAAGGTCGACGAAGGGGGGACGGACGAGGGGGGGCACACTGAAACAGTGCACATATAGCGCTGCCTCGCGCTATCCTGCCGACACCGCGGCGCTGGCAGCGTTGTGCTGCATCTGCTGCTGCCGAAAGGCCTCACTGCTCTGCCTCATCGCTGCCATGCCCGTCGCGGCGCCTCGGACGCCTCCCAGATCCTCGCTCGGAGGCTCGTCGTCGCTGCCCCCCTCGGAGTCGGAGGCCGCCTGCTGACCTGCGCCGAGCGTGTCCCGGACGCTCCTCGCGTGGGCGTCTGCGGCCTTCCTGGCGCTGCGCGTCTGGAGCACATCCTGGAACCTGCGCCTGGGGAGTCAAGGGATGCCCAGGGCCCCGTCGCGAAGCCTAGCCCGCCCAGTAACGCCCGAAACACGGGTCAGCGGAGGACGGAAAAGCGGAATCGGCCCCTCGTGGATTGCAAACCCGTGTCGAACAGATGTCGGACCCTTGGTTTTTAATGGGGAACTATTATCTCTACTGTGCTCGCTGGCCAATACGACTCGGATCCGAGGATCTCGAGATGCGGCTATCATGATCGCCTCTCGTTGAAACCACACCCAGTCAAAGAAGGAAAGGGACGGCGCGCAAGGAGGCGCGAGAGGGAGGGGAATCTGGATGACTGCAGAAAAGGAACAAACGATGTGGATCGATGAGACCGACGCACCAAACCCCACGAAGCCATTACTGCGCACGCGCCCCCGTGACTTACACTTGGTCTTTGACGGGGAACTATTATTTTTACTGTGCTCGCTGGTCAAAGCGAATCGGATCTGAGGATTTCGAGAGGCGGCTATCATGATCGCGTCTCGTTGAAACCACACCCATCAGATTCCCAAAGCAAAAACTGCTCTCACACTGTAAAGCATGTGGCCGGAAAGGCACGGAACAAAGTGAAAAAAAACGGCCTGCTGAAAACAACCGGGGATGAATTCGGAAGGGCGGGGGCGGGACAGGTGTTTCTCGTGGCCGTCTCTGGCCCTGACCCCAAGGCATCTTAGCCCCAGGCGGCCCGTGCCGGCAACCAAAATATAACAGACCAGGGATGTCACGGTTATCCTGGGCACCCCGTTGCATATACACATGAGCGAGCCGAAACGAATGCAGCCAAGCAAAGGAGAATGGCACAAGACTTGCGGGCTTACCGATGAGAAACAACTGACGATCGACGGCGATCCCAATCTACCCGCTTCCGACACAAGTCGAACAAGGGCCGCGGCGGTGGTGAGAGGAAAGGCGTCCACTGACAGACAGAGCGCGCCAATCTTACTGTGTCCCGTGTCAAATCGCAACCGGAACGACGCGCAAGCAGATATATCCGTAGCAGATAAGCAGCTGACGAGAAAACCAGAGCTCACCCTTTTGCCAGGTAGGCGCGAACCGATTTCCAATGAGCAGCACGAACAGTCGTCTTTCATTCAGGGGGCATGGAAAGCGGGCTTTGGCAGCACCTGGCCGCGAATCAATATCGCCGAACACTTGTTTCGAACTGCTCGGCGTGGAGCCTGAACCATCTGGGATGAGCAATCCAAATTGAACTGAGACGGGCCCCCTTCTTGCACCTCACGACGGAGCGGTCTGACTTCCAACCGCCTCTCTTCTTGACCTCGGCCAGTGTCCGCCATCGAATGGCCGTGTCGGTGCTGGCGCCGCTGCGCCGTGCCTGGTAGACCACCAGGTTGAAGCCCAGGTCCCTTGCCACCTACTGAACCGAGGCTGCCAGCTGAGGATCACTGAGCTGCCGAATCCCCCGCCCTGGAGGGCTGGTCTCGGGGGCCTCCAGCATGGGCGTCAGCTGTTCCCACCATCCATGCATGGTCCAGCTTGATGGTCACGTCGAATTCCTTCGCCTTCGAGGGGGTGCATCTCTGGATGCAGCTGCAGCGCCCAGTAGGTGGCAACACGGCTGGGAGCACGCAGCAACTAAGCCGCGAGCGCCATGAGCTGGATCGGGTGCGCACAGGTGCTCCACGCGAGGCCAAGCCTCGGGGGGGCGAGACGTCGACGGGCGCAGGTTTTGCCAGCCATTCAAGGCCCGCCAACTGCGCTGGAGTGCGCGGGCCCCCCCCTCGCCTGCCTTCGGCAGATCGCGCGCCACGCCTGCGAGCAGCTCCGTGCCGCGAGCCGCTGCAACTCCACGTTTGATGTGCCGATCGGTGCACTGAACCGGCTGATCGCCCAAGATCTCCGACGGGATGTCCGCGAGGCGCTTCGCGCCTGCGAAGATGCTGTGCTGGTGCGCCTCCCGCGCGCGCTGCGCCTCTGTCTGAGGCCCCACCGCTGCGGGCCCCCCCGCGATAAGATGGGGCAGATCGGGGATCGAAGGGCTCTGGAGCAGCTTGGTCAGCACGCCCTTCTTCTTCGGAGGGGGAGGGCGTCGCAGGAGGAGCTGGCGACGTCTCGTCTTCGCTTTCGGAGCTCGACGCCACTGCGAAACGAGGGCCCGACTGAAGCGACGCCCGCAACTGCCCCAACACGCCTCGCACAACGCGTCCCGCACCTCGGCGTCCGACAGGTTCGGCTGTCCAGCGAGTCGGGCCAGGGCCCTGACGCCACTCCCCCCGCTGGCCCCCAGGACGCGGGAAGTGCGAGGCCAACAAGCGGAAGGCGGGGCGGGCCCTCCAAGCGGCGCTTCCGCGTGCGGGCTGCTGTCCGCTGCTGCCTGGGCTCAGACAATGCCAACCCCGAACTCTGACACCTGATGTAGAGGGGTTCGGCAGCATAAGAAACGGCCTGAGCCGAAATGCCTACGGGGGCAGGGCGAGGCACAGCTAACATCCTTTTTCCATGAGAGGCCCAGGACTATACACCAGGGGCAACCACGGATCACCAAGAGGCCCGACGCCAACCCGAGAGGCGTCTCGGCGTTCCACCGCTTTCCCAACAAGGATGGGCTTCGTCGCAGGGAACGCGCTTACGGGGTCGGGGTCGGCCTACGCCGCCCTTCTTGCAATCTACCAACTTCGACTGTGACTAAAACAGGCGAGAGGGGGCATCGGCAGGATTGCGCCCAGAGGGGATCCAACGCATCGAGAGATGGATGTTGCGACTGAGACGTCGAGCTGCCATCTTGCGCAAGATGACGAGGATGTGAAGATTCCGACACCGACACCTGCCACCAAACAAGACGAGTCCTAGATTGTCCGCAACAAGAATCTGCCGAATGTCACGGCCGAGTCAAGCGCGGCAGACCCTCTCAAGCCCCCGCAGCAGGCCGCGGGCCTCCAGCACCATGATGTCCTCGGGCTCTCGGAACCTCCAGCCTCCGACGACGCTCCACTGACTATCGTCGGTCATGAAGCTCGGCACCTCGGCAAACAGCGGAGCGGGCTGGAGGTCGCCGCGGCCGACGCAGCCTGGGGCGCCCAGGTCTTCGAGCGCCAAAAGACCATCTCCGACGGGCAGCGGCGCGAGCTCCGATGCGCTCCTCGGCGAGGTAGCGGCCCCGCTCGCGGCGGCGGCCCACGGCGGCAACGTCCGCCGCGTCGAGCCAGCGCGGGCAGATGCCGCAGCCCGTCTCTGAAGCGTCCGTGGCCACGACCAAAGGTCTCCAGTTGGACTCCCAACTCGAGACCAGCATCACCATGAGCCCTGCAAAGGCTCTGAGCTCGTCGGCGACGCTCGGCCACAAGGCCACAGGCTGCTCGGGGTAGACGGTAGCAAACACCCCCGACGTGTCGCCCCGAACAAGCCCGCATAAGGTGACGAGACCGAGCACGGCCTCGACCTGCCGACCCGACACGCGGCGTCGCCCAGCCAGGGCCAGCAAGGCGCCGTGCACCCGCCAGAAGCGCGTCGCCGTCAGCCTCGCATGCCGACGACGGCCGTCCAGCAGCACCCCCGGAGCCTCAACGCCCGAGCCGGAGGTGGCGACCCCCTGCAGGGCGAGGCCCCGTCGCCTCGAAGAACGCGCGCGCGTCCTGCAACTCGGACGCCGCGATGTTACCGTCGGACCCGAAGACGCCAATGTTGTCGACGTAGATGCAGCGCCTGGTGTTCGCGGCCTGAGCGCCGCGCGGGGTGGCGGCAAGCGGCTGACCTCGGTCGCGCAGCAGCTCGGCGCGGTCCAAGATCTGGCCGGCCACCTCCTCGTCGATGTCTCGCGCCAAGAACTGACTCCAGGGGGGGCCCCGTGGGCAGACAGCGCGGCATCGGCGTGACCATGTCGGGATCAACGTCGCCGTCTAAGCCCTTAGTCACTCCGATGTCGGCAGCGCGCGCCGGGGGCAGGAAGAACCGCCGCGAGAGCCAAGCGGGGGCGCCCGCCCTGTGGAAAGCGTCCTGCACGTCTGCTGCCCCGCAGTTAAAAGGAGGCGAAATCCTGACCATCGGGGAGCTCCACTTCGATTCGGCCGAGACCCTCAGCCGTCAAAGAGTCGACCCCCGGCGGGGTGGCGAACAACCTGTTGGTCCGCCGCGCGTCGAAGATGAGCCGGAGCTCCCCACTCTTCTTGCGCACAAGAAGGAGACCAGTTCGCTTGTGCGCCCATCCGCCGCAAACCAGCATGATGTTCCTGGCCCTGAGGTCGCGGATGAAACGGGCGCGAAGCGCGGGGCTGCTGGCGAGCCGGGGGTCGGCGTAGCGTCGATCGGCACCATCATCAAAACTGTCGCAAGCAGTCGCGCCCAGCATGCGCTCACCTGTGCCCTCCAGATAGCGTCGGCCGCGGCCCCCCACCATGTCCGAGACGCTCGGGGCGCCGGTCCTCTGCTCGCGCAGGGATGCCCGACCGCGCTTGCACGGCGCTAGCGCACTCGAAGAAGCGTCCATCCTGTAGCCAGACGCCTTCTCACAGAGCAGTTCCCGAAGGGCCACTTCTGGCGGCTTGTAAAAGTCACGGGCGCCATCGCGCATCTGAAACTCCGCCAGCGCCCGCAGATAAGCCAGGTTGTCATCCAGCTGGGGAGACGCCCCCCTCACAGAAGCGCCGCCATCCAAGCCGGCGGGGCCAGGCCGACCTCGGACGCCAGGCGGTCGATGGGAGTCGGATTTAGCAAGCCCATTCAGTGCGTTGGAAGACGCCTCGACGAGCCGGCGAACGTGGCCCCTAGCACGGCAGCGCCCTTGACGTCGGCCGCCAGCAGCGGGCGCAGCTTCACGCCGAGGCACTGGCATCGGAAGCTGCTCGAAGAGGCGAGGGCGACCAGGCGCCCGAAAATCTCCCACATTCAGCGGGCCGCGGCGTGGAGGGCCTGCCCACGGTCCGTCCCCCGTTTCAACTATCCTTCGAGGCTCCAGAGCCGCGTCCAGCGCCTCCTTTGCCCCGACCTGCGTCGCCACCTCCGCGGCCTCGGCCGCCGCCAACAGCTCCCTGGCCGCCGCCGGCGTCAGCGCCCTCCGCCGCGGGCCGCAGCCGGCGCGCCCGAGTACTCTCGATCTCGCGCTGATCCTTCAACTTGTTGGCGCCCCGCTTCCGCAGGGCAAGCGCGATGGCGTCGCTATAGTTGGCCTCGCCCTCGTAGACGGCGGCCATGCGCTAGGTCGGAACCCCGCCCCCTGCCGAGTGAGTATCGATCACCCCAAGCATGCGTCTGAACATCTCCTCGATGCCAACAGACGCGCCAAGATTGAGCTGATCGTACTCACCGATCGGGGAGACGTAAGACCCGGGTACGGGGGACTCGGAAATCCCCGACGAGGTCGTCAACAAAAACTATCCTGGCGAAGGGCCCAACCATATGCAAACGTGAATACCGCAGGGCAGGTGGGACGAAGCAAAAAGAATTCCCGATGTGGCCACGAACCGTGTGAGGGGTGCGCCACACTGGGGCGGGGCCGCCATGCGAACCCTGCCACTGAGGCCTTCGGTGGAGCTCCCTATGTCCCTGCGGGGCCACGAACCGTGTGAGGGGTGCGCCAGAATGGGGCGGGGCCGCCATGCGAACGCAGCCACTGGGGCCTTGAGTGGAACTCACTATGGGGCCACGAACCGTGTGAGGGGCGCGCCACAATGAGGCGGGGCCGCCATGCGAACCCTGCCCCTGGGGCCTTCGGTGGAGCTCCCTATGGGGCCACGAACCGTGTGAGGGGTGCGCCAAAACGATGCGGGGCCGCCATGCGAACCCTGCCACTGGGGCCTTCGGTGGAGCTCCCTATGGGGCGACGAACCGTGTGAGAGGTGCGCGAAAATGAAGCGGGGCCGCCATCGAACCCTGCCACTGGGGCCTTCGGTGGAGCTCCCTATGGGGTCACGAACCGTGTGAGGGGTGCGCCAAAATGGGGCGGGGCCGCCATGCGAACCCTGCCACTGGGGCCTTCGGTGGAGCTCCCTATGGGGCCACGAACCGTGTGAGGGGTGCGCCAAAATGGGGCGGGGCCGCCATGCGAACGCTGCCACTGGGGCCTTCGGTGGAGCTCCCTATGGGGCCACGAACCGTGTGAGGGGTGCGCCAGAATGGGGCGGGGCCGCCATGCGAACGCAGCCACTGGGGCCTTCGGTGGAGCTCCCTATGGGGCCACGAACCGTGTGAGGGGTGCGCCAGAATGGGGCGGGGCCGCCATGCGAACGCAGCCACTGGGGCCTTCGGTGGAGCTCCCTATGGGGCCACGAACCGTGTGAGGGGTGCGCCAGAATGGGGCGGGGCCGCCATGCGAACGCAGCCACTGGGGCCTTCGGTGGAGCTCCCTATGGGGCCACGAACCGTGTGAGGGGTGCGCCAGAATGGGGCGGGGCCGCCATGCGAACGCAGCCACTGCGGTGGAGCTCCCTATGGGGCCACGCGAACGGGGCCGCCATGCGTGGGGCCTTCGGTGGAGCTCCCTATGGGGCCACGAACCGTGTGAGGGGTGCGCCAGAATGGGGCGGGGCCGCCATGCGAACGCAGCCACTGGGGCCTTCGGTGGAGCTCCCTATGGGGCCACGAACCGTGTGAGGGGTGCGCCAGAATGGGGCGGGGCCGCCATGCGAACGCAGCCACTGGGGCCTTCGGTGGAGCTCCCTATGGGGCCACGAACCGTGTGAGGGGTGCGCCAGAATGGGGCGGGGCCGCCATGCGAACGCAGCCACTGGGGCCTTCGGTGGAGCTCCCTATGGGGCCACGAACCGTGTGAGGGGTGTGCCGAATGGGGCGGGGCCGCATGCGAACGCAGCCACTGGGGCCTTCGGTGGAGCTCCCTATGGGGCCACGAACCGTGTGAGGGGTGCGCCAGAATGGGGCGGGGCCGCCATGCGAACGCAGCCACTGGGGCCTTCGGTGGAGCTCCCTATGGGGCCACGAACCGTGTGAGGGGTGCGCCAAAATGGGGCGGGGCCGCCACGCGAACACCACAGGATGGTTGGAAACTAATGGCCATGGCGATGATGATGACGATGATGATGCTAGTGGTGATGATGACGATGATGATGATGATGATGATGATGATGATGACGATGATGGGAGAAGAGAGGAGGGCAGCGGGAGGTGAGACGCGGGGCGCTGTCTCTTCAAAACGAGGACCCAACACCACAGGATGGTTGGGAATGACGAGGCCGAGCCTGCATTTTGACGAGGCCTCCCGCTGCAGACATCCCACGAAACTCCTCCTCGTCAAAATCCGAGGCGCGGTCGTCAAAAAACGATGACGAACCCGAGTCCTGGCAAACCCGGGTCTTACGCTCCCCCGAACCGAACAGCTTGAAGCTCTCCGTCGGCGTATTCGTCTCGTGGAACACCCGCTCGCTTATCGAAATGTTGCTGCCCCTGGCGAACTCCTGCCACCAGCGCCTAGCGTCGCCACCGTAGCGCTCAGTGTGTCGAGCCAAATGGAGAGCACCAGGCGGCCCCTGAGCCTCCGCGGCAAATATCGGTTCCCCCCTGCTCTCCTGCACGGCCTTCTTTCAGCTCTTGAACCCTGCGCCCACCTCGTCGCAGTCAACCCACACGGTGCGCGCGTCATCGTCCTGCGCGGGCGGCCCAGCCTCATGGCGACGCATCGCGGCGGGGCCCACAGGGGCCGAGGCGGCGGGGTAGCGCGACTTGGGCCTTCACGAACTCCACGCGGTCGGAGTTCGCCACGACCTGGGCCCGAAAGAAGCTGCCTTGCCTGAAGACGGGGCCGTCCGTCGCCGTGACGATGGCATTTCCAGAGCGAGGACTCACCTCCAGGCTGGCCGTCCGCGTTCTCCGTCACGATCTACACCGGCCCGTCACGGGGTGCAGGCCGTTCGGGCAGCGGCGCGAGGTAGGGCGCCACGCGGGGGCCGCCAAGGATCTCGGGCTCGGACATGGCCGCCTCGGCGGGCTCCAGCGGCACAGGCGTCGCCGCGCCTCCAGCAGCCACAGGCGGATCCTCGGCAGCAGCGACGGCGGGAGCGTCTCGACGCCGAAGGCGTCGGCCCATTCTAGGTAGGCAGCGGTGCCAGCTCGCCCGCTGAGTTGACGAAGTGCGAGAAGGCGGGGGGCGCCTGTCCCGCGGATCGCATCCTTGCCACGGCCGACTGGGCCACGTGGCGGACACGGTCATCGTCGGGATAGGCACCATCCGCAAACCTGTTGAATTTGCCTCGCAGCTGGCGGGGACAGGTCCCAGCATGATCCAGAACGACGAGCTTCTCGCCCTCGCCCGCCTCCATCGACAAATCCTCCTCGTACGTGCCCCCGTCGGGGGTGACGATCAGCCACGAGCGAATGCTGCTGTCTCCACCACGAAGCCAGGACCCAACACAACCCGCTCGTGCCACAGGTCCTCCTCGGGATACTTGATGGCCAGGATGCGCCCTGGCACCAGACTATTCGATAAACCCGCACCGAAAGAGGTCGGCGCGGCGGTCGGCCCCCGAGCCGCGGCGGTCGGCGCGCGACGAGCGCCATGGCGCCTGTTGCAAGACCACTGCAAGCCACCCACACTGACCAGCACGGTAAGCTGGCCCACGCACAGGCTGACGGTGGTCACGGCGATGCGCCTCGCGTCGCGCTCGAACGTGTCGCAGCTGATCTCGCACACGCACCTTTCGGACCGAATCCGACGGGCGACTTCCTCGATCACCTCGGGGTCGAGCTCGGTCGGGGGGCAAGACACCTCCACCTTCGCCGCAGGCGCAGCAGGGGCGGCCCACGGGGCGACGCCCTCGGGAGGGACGCTGGGGCCGCAGACCACTGCCTCTCGGCGGCGTCCTTCGAGCCTGGATGACTGCAGAGAACAACAAACGATGTGGATCGATGAGACCGACGCACCAAACCCCACTAAGACATTACTGCGCACGCACCCCCAAGGGATTGGCTGAACCCCGTCACGTGAGCCCCAGCCGCTACTCCATGGACCACTCCTGGGGTGATGTGGCGACAGCGGAACGAACAGCGGCAGAAACTTGTTCTCTCGGAGGGCCGCGTGGATTTCTTGGATCGGCACTGAAACCCCCTCCCTGGAGCGCGGAGAGCGCCAAGGCCGGCGCCGGAAGCGCCGCCAGGAGATCGTTCATCCGCGAGAGATCGGAGAGATCCGCGCGGAGTCCCGACAGTTCTCGTTCATGCCGCTGTTGGTACCCCCCGAGTCTCCAGGACAAGCAGCGGTACTGGTATCGTTTGAGGGGCGACGATAAAAGGGGGTGATAGGGATAGGCGGGGAAACATCGACCTGGAGTCGGCGATACATCGCCGATAGATCGGCGGTAGGCCTCCGATAGTGACCCCACACGTTCCTGGGCAGGTTGGGGCTGTCGGGCCCCTGTCGGCGATCAATGGGCGATTGTGGGTCGACCACCCCCATCGTTGCCCCCGATCCTTTCCTTCCCCGGGTGCCGGTCTATGCGCAGCACCTCCGAGCACTCGAGCGCCACCACGGTGTTCCTGCTCTTCACGTCGCTCCCCAGGTCGAAGAGGCAGTGCTCGTCCACCACCGTCAGGGGGTCGACGCCGCCGCGCACCGAGAGGCGCTGCACCAAGGACGACCTCCGGCTCGCCCGGCTCCTCGGGGAGGTGCCGCTGGCCGTCGCCCGCTGGTCCTCCGCTGCTAGCACCTGCAGGCCCCCCCGCATGAGCACGTGCGCGGCATCGGCGTCGCTGTTTCGCTCCACGACCGCGTCGCCGGGCAAGTAGTCGATAGCGTCGGTGGCGTCGCACACGCGCCGCAGGTCCGGGTCCTTCCACCCCTGGAGCCGCGAGATCATCTTGAGGAAGCGGATCCGCTGGGCCTGGACGAGCTGCAGCTTCAGCTCGTCGGGCAGGACGCCGAGGAGGCCCGCCTCCTTGGCGTGGAGCTTCCGCTTCGCGTACAGGTGGTTCAGGTACCCCTGTGTGCGCAGCTGCAGCGTGGCGCCGCAGTTGATCGATCTCAGGTGCATGCGGACGTAGGCCATCTCCTCCTTGAAGGCGTCCTTGCGCGCGCTGAACTTGAACCAGGCTTGCGTGATGCGGGCGACGTTGACGGCGAAGGCCATGACGGCGAAGAACATGAAGAGAAGGACAAACATCCTCTCCACCAAGGTGATCGGTGTGACCTCGGCTGGCATGGTGCGCATCACTCCCAAGATCCAATAGAAACAAAACACGTACTGCTCCGCCACAGGCCTATCCACCCATCTCCACGTCCCGTAGCTGTCCTCAGGACTATGCCTGCGCGGCAACTCTGTCCAGTGGAGCGCATCCGGATCTTCCTGAAATGTAATAAGCATCACCAAACTGTCTCTCCTGCCGACCATCCACCAGATGCATGCGCCCCAATGGCAAATTGCGGCCCATATGAGCAGAACCTTGCACATACTCACCACGTTCAAAGCGGTGATGGAGCCGATCTTGCCCTCCAGACGGTCCCAAATCACCTGGATCTTGGCAAGACGTAGCATCCTCATCAGCCTCAGAAGCCGCGTCAACTTGACCACCTTGGCGAGCTTTGTGACCTGGGCCCCCGAAGACGTTTCACTGCTGGAAGTGAAGGCCTCCGCGATGATGTGCCACGGCACAGTGCTCATGAAATCGATCCAGAACCATCCACGGAGGTAGTTGACCGCAATGCAAGCCTTCTCGGTGACGAGGGTCCCCTCCTGCCGGGGCTTGTCATTTTTGCCCGCGCGGTAGCCGGTAAAGAAATTCATCACCAGATCGCTCCCGAATATTGCGATCGTCAGCCAGAGCCAGAACTCATCGAACCTTGGCCCCGTGTTGAACTCGGCCAGCTGGAAGGGGATCACCACGCTGTCGCACAGGACCAGGAAGACGACCACCATGTCCCACGACAACCTCGGAGGCCAATCTGGATTCAGTACGCCGTCGATACACCGTGGGGTTCTCCTCGGGCCCTTTGACATGGCGGTGGCATCTGAGGTCGTCGTAGGTGCGCCCCTGGTCTTGTGGGCATCCACATCAGATAGCACGAATGGAGTTAGGGCGACATCAGACAGCTTCGTCGAGGACCCTCGGCTCGCGGGCTGACCGACCTCCTCCTCCTCCGCAGACTGTATGCTCGAGGCCTTCCATGACGGGCGATCGCTGCTCCTGCGGCTGCCACGGCTACCCTTCGAGGAAGCACGCTTGCGGGTGGGGGACCCCATCGCCACTGGAGACTCCGTAGCAACCCTTAGGAGGCAACTTCTGGGAGGTCTTCGTCCAAATGGTTAAAGGCTATTAAGCCCGATGAAGGGGCCATCATGCCGGATCAGGCCAGATTAAGACTGGGATCCGGATCAAGCAGTACTACGCGAGATTGAATCATGTTAGAAAAAAAGAACTGAACCAGATTGGGCCAGTTCTCGCCCAGGAATATCTCGGCGCCGACTCTGAATTTAACCTCCCAGGAGGTGCGTCCTGGCGGTAGCGGCCACGGCGATCAGGTCCGAGCGCAGATCCCCCACCGCGGCGCGGAACTTGCCGATCGCCTCCGCGGTCAGCCCCCGGAAGTCACCGAGCGGGAAGTCCGGGTGCAGGTCAAAGGCGCTGCGCACCAACTCCGCCTGCAGGTCGAGGGACCGGGTGAGGGCCTGGAGGTGGATCTCGAACGCATCGGCCGAGGACAACTTCACCTTGGGTTAGGTCGGGCATGTCCTCCTACAAGCGGATTTTGGTAGAAAAGCAAAAACAACAAACACATGTTCAAAAATGGTCGAAGAGCACTAAAATTGTCCCCTGACATTTTTCTTACTAGGGGCATGCCCGGCTTCAATTTGGCAGGGCGAGGAAGCGTGCACCATGTCGTGCCCCTCTTGGGACTCTCTGACGCCCCAAAAGGGGGCGACAGGTGCACCTCTCTGTGCCCCCCCCCTTATCGTTAGGTAGGGCGTGTCCTGCAGGCGGATTTTGGCGTTAAAAAAACGAAAAATCAAATAAAGTACTACTTTTGACTATGTTTGAAGATTTCTCCTGTAGAGGGACAGGCCCGACTTCATCTTCTCGCCGCCCCATTACTGAAAAAAGCCCGGTCACCGCCATGGCCCCCCCGTGCCGGGCAGCCGTCCGCCCGCGGCGCCAGCAGGAGCCCGCCTCCCCTTGCCTGCCAGGCTGGGCGGCCGGCCGGGCGCCCCGGCCCGCTTCAGCCGCGGTGGCGATGCCGGGGTGCTGCTCCCGGGAAGGCTTCGCAGGAACGGTTCAAGGCAATCGAGCTAGAGGGAGGGGCCATAAGCCTGGATGAACCAAGATTGCCGGGGATGGACAGAACTCCCTTTCGCAAAACGTGGTCTAGTGAGACGACCTCGGGCCCAAACCTGGCGGGCGCAGGCCAAGAAAATGACGGCCGCGGCGCCCTCTCGAAAACCGAGAACGGACAATTCACGAGTCGACGCGTCAGGGTGGGGGTTCTGTCCACCCCCGAGATTGCCCCGGGATTATAGTGGCGGCCAGTTCACAAGAAACCTTCCACAAGAAACCCAACCCTGAGACCCCAGGACGTCCACTGTTTTTGGTGCGGGAAGGTCACGCTTTCCATAGCACAACCATCGAAACCCAAGAACGCCCAGGGCAGCCTGGAGCCAAACTGGGTGTTTCTTGGCATGGGTCTCCACGGTAAGCTGTATTAAACGGGATTGCGCCACACTCTGGATTAGGCAACGCATTGACCACGGAGATACCAGCGACGATTCCGAGTTTAACCTCCCTGGAGTTGCAACCTCAGTAATGGATCTGCTGTGAAGCCAGTGGGCCCACTCGCGGGCATCATTGTGCTTCGAGCTATCCCCACCCAAGAACGCGAGGCCGTGCGAGGCGGGTCGAGAGCTCTCTTCTCTAAGTCTGACGATGGTCCAACAACCCAAACCTGTGGGATGGGGAGTACAGTGTATTACGTAAACAAAAAACACCTTCAGGCGTAAAGCTCGGCGCCCGGTGCAAGACCAACTGTCACCAAATTGATTGCCACAGGTCTGAAGGAAATCGCACCAGCCCTCTGGGCGTAGGTGGTCTAAGGAGGCTCCTCTTCCAACCCCCTTCTACCCCTGCGGGGAAGGGTTTACCCCTCCCCCCTAACCCCTCCCCCTGGACCTGGACGGGGGTGGTCGCGGGTAGTTGGAGCGTCCAAGATGGCCCAAAGGCGGCTCCAGGAGCGCCTCGGAAAGCCCAACATGGCCTCCAAGATGGCTCAAGATAGCGCAAGGTGCCTCAAGATGGCTTTCAAGATGCACCAAGAAGCCCCAAGAACGCTCCGAGACCGCTCCCAGTAGCCTCCGAAACCTCCAAGGAGGCCCCCAAGAAGCCCAAATCCTTCAACAATATAAGGAAAATCAATGATTATTGCTTTCTCGCCGTTTCGCTTCCGATGGCCATCGGAAGTCTCAGGATGGCTCCAAGATGGCCCAAGAGAGCCCGGGGAGAGGCCCAAGAGAACCCCACGACGGCCCCAAAAGCGCCCAAAAGCGCCCCAAGAGCACTCCAAGATGGTCCAAGATGGATCCGGGAGGCGATTCTCGGTGCTCCCGAAGGGGGAGGCAAATTCAAGCTCCCCTCTTGTTTGATCGATGTCCGGCAAGATGGCCCCAAGAGCGCCCCTAAAGCTCCCAAGAGCGGCCCAGGAGGGCCCAAGAGGCGCCCACACAGCCCCAAGAGGCCCCCAAGAGGCTCCCAAGAAACCCCATACGAGGAGTCAAAAGGATCCCGGAGGCACACAACTCTCCCTCCTTCTCCTCCTTCTCTTCCATCTCGTCCTCCTCGTCCTCGCCTTACTCCACCTCCCCCTCCTCCTCCTCCACCTCTTCCTCCTCCTCCTCCTCTTCCTCCTCCCCCTCCTCCGATAACGACGACGACGATTCCTCCTCCATCTTCCCCCTTCTTGGGGTATATGATGGATTCCCCTTTCTGTTCTTCTGCATGATGCCGCACATCCCTGATTACCTGGGCATCGTTTCTGGATGAGCTGGTGGAAATACTTTTTGGTCAACAGGCTCGCGAGGCGGGTCAAAAGCCGTCCGAACACTAGTCGGGCCGCGACTAGGCAGCAGGAAAAGAAAGGCAAGCGAAGCGAAAGAGCGGGCAGCCACTCAGAAGGAGAGCCCAAACCGATATTCCCAAACCCGGTGGCGTTGGAAATTCCGGTGGCGACCAGCAAGTAAGCGCAGCCAAAATGGCGCGGCGGCGCGACCATAAACACGCAGAGGTCGATCGCTCGGTGTGAGTCAGACAAAGATCACCGTCAGAGACGAACTAGACCGACAGGCACACCGAGACGACATCCGTGAAGTAGGCGACACAAATGCCAAAACATTGTATCGGCTGGTGGGATTGTTTTGTCGCAGCCGCAGGCGAAGGCGCCAGCGGCGAGTCGAGTCAGCTCGGGCTACGAGCGGAACTAATTGCCGTCGGCTGGTGGACATACTTTTTTCGGTCGCGGCCGCCAGCGAAGAGGCGACTGGTGGAGATACGCGAAGCGTCAACAACTATTATGGACCAGGGGAGGCTCATGGAAAGTTCCACCACGAACTTAAACCAGGGGAGGCTCATGGAAAACTCCACCACGAACTTAAAATACATGCGCTACAATATGGGCAAACTCTCGGGCTGCCGTCAATGCGATCTCGAAACGACCGCAACACACATAGCCACGCACTGTTGACGCTGATGTTCGGTTTCCGACAATGGAACCTGAAACTGACAGGGCCAGCACCCACAATCCGTTGACGCTGATTCTGGGTCGCCGTGAGGGTGCCAAGTCCGTTGCGGGATTCTATCCATAACCGCCACCTAGGGCACCGATCTTGGAAGACCCTAAGGACCGGTTTTTTATGAATCGACGATGCCCCAGGTTATCCGGGGGGGAGGAGGGGACGGGCCGATAACCCAATCTTCGGGCTGTGGACAGCCCTGCATATGCCCGCGCCCCTCCACCCCAGACCTGCACAACCGGCAAGGTGAGGGTATCCTGGGGGGGGGGGAGGGGGGGCAAGCCAGATAACCTGGGTTATCGCCGGACCCTTCAATAAAACAGTCTCCTGGCAGAAAGGGAGATCGATGTCGTCGGGACCCTGGGAGCTAACCATGTCCATACCCACCGCCCGCTGGGGGCCTGGGGCGTCGACTCCCCGGTCGGCGGGTGCGGACGTCACCGCCGCTCGTCGAAGGAGCCGGCGCAGCACCAAACGCAAGGCCACTGGCCACGTGCACAAGAGCAAGCAGGAGCCCCGCGAGCGGAGCCTCTGCGGGGGGGGAACACGGACTCTGGCGTCGTTGGTGATAGCGTGGGCGGAGTGGGCAGTGCAGCCTGGACCCTCCGAAGGGGCATTCCGATTGGGAGGAGAGGAGGAGGAGGAGAAGGAGAAGGAGGAGGAGGAGGAGAGAAACGGAGGAGGAGGAGGAGGAGGAGGGAGGAGGAGGAGGCAGGGGAGGAGGAGGACGAGGTGGATGACGAGGAACTGACATGCGGTATGAAATCCTCCGACTGGGAAGATTGGGCAAGGTCTTCGTCGATCTCTGGGGGCCCTGAGGTGCCTCAGGGCCCCCTGGGGGTCCCTGGGGCCATCGGGGGATCAGCCAGTTCCGTGATGGGGGCCCAAGCCAGACCCGGTAGAGCGAAGGACGCCACGTATGCGCTTGATGCTAGACCGTTCCCACCGTCCTTCGCAAAGACCCGCCGCAAGAAACACTCTCGACCGGCCCCGGGGAGCATGTTTCGGCCTGCGACGTCTGAGAAGTCATCGGATGTGGTTTTCGAGCAAATGCGCACGAAGAACAGACATTACGCACGCATGAAACCAGCAGCTTGTTACAATGTGCGCCTGACCGACGAATTATGGTGGTGGAGGAGGGGAGCTGCGAAGATCGACGGGGGGCACGACCTACTGGCGCGGGTCCACGTGCTAGGACCGCATTCCCATGACTCCCCTGGTGGCTGCAGTCAGAATGCTTCTTCTGCAGTGGAGACCGGTGAGAAACAACTGGTATGCTGGTGGGCTGGCATCTGCTTTGGGTGCATCTGCACCTGTACATTAGGAGGCAACTACTGGGAGGTTTTCGTCGGAAAAAATAAGGAGGATTAAGCCCCATTTGAAAGCTGTTACGCCAGAATGGGCCTCGGACTAAGCGGGATTAAGCCGGATTTCGGACCAGGGCTACATCAGAATTTGACCTCCCAGGAGTTGCATCCGAGTGTACATGTGTCAGACTCGGGCAACGAATGATATTGGCCATGGGCACGAGGATCGTTCGGGCACGAGCCAGGTTCGATCAGGTCATTCGGCGTTGAGTCGGACGTAGGCACATTTGCAGTGGAGCCCGCCATGATAGAGACCGCGGCGTGCACAGCAAAGGCAAGTGCCAGCAACCGCACAATGATGGGGGGCATACGGGACTGCCGCCATGGTGTATCTATCCCGCTCACTTAGGAGACAAGAAGACAAGCAAGAAAGGTTGGTGGATTAAGCCTGGTCAACTCGTTGTTTTGTTGAATATTTGGGGGACCTCGTCCGCCCCATCGCGCCAACTATCCGCGTCGCATGCATGTCGGATCCATGTCGGACGCGTCGGCTCCGTGTGGAATCCGTATCGAATCCGTATCGAGTCCCACATCGCATTCTCATGGAATCCGCCTCGAACCCACGTAAGAGTACAAGACAAGACAAGCATCTACAGGACAGGAAAAGCCCCCCCGAAGAGGCAACGAAATTGTTGGCCTGAGCCACATCAGTCATGGCGGACAACACCAGGGTCTTGGGGGGGGGGCCCAGATCGGGCCCACATCGACGCGGCGCTTGTTTCAACGCCGACCACCGCATCCCCAGCTTGGTGCAAATCGACCGATGGTTCGGCCAGCGCCCATGTGTGCAAACCTTCAGGAAACAGGTCGATTGGAGAGGGACATTGCGACAGAAAGCAGTGAGGTTCTGGGCGCGGCGGCGACCCACAAGAACCAGCATCAGTGTAGACCCACATCCAGTTCGCACGATCTCCGATAACGTCCCGCAGGCACACAACAAAGACAGCGCGAGCTGCAATCCTTGTGCATCGCCTGGATGCCGGCGGCCGTCTTCGTCTCGCGCGCCTGGAGCACATGCAGGCACGCAAGCAGCATTTGCAAGAAGAGCCTCACTCGCGATTGATAGAGCCAAGGCAGCCAGTCGACTGCGAACAGCCGGCAAGAGCAACATGATTCTGGAAAGTATGCCCTTGGCCGATGGGCACAGGAGGGTCGTATGCCAAGGCGCATAGCTCTCCCCCGTGGAAGAAGAAGTGGCACGGCTGCTGGTGCAGCACGCTGCTCCTCCTTCCCTCTTCGAACTCTTCATCCTCCTCCTCCTCCTCCTCCTCGCCTTGCTGGTGATGATGCGTCCGCTGGTGCTGCTCCTGGAGCTGCTACTCGCCGACCCGATCATCGTCCTCCTGCTTCTCCTCGCCCTCGTTCACCGTCGCTGCCTTCTTCTCTCCTTCCCCATCCTCCGCCTTCTCCCCTCGACCCCCTCTTGCGAAACGGCCAGGTCATCATGGTAGTCCTCCTTTGGCTCAAAATCGATGGTTCGTGGGTTTCGGATTGCGCCCCGTGTTCGACATATTCCGAACCCTGCCCCCGCCGCCGATCGAGTCGCCCGAATCGTTGATCGGAGGGGGTAGGCTTCGGATTTCGCCGCCGACTGAAGCAGACGATCGCAGTGCAAGAAAAACACCGAATGCCGCACTAGAAACTTAACATGACAACTACCCGAGACGTACCCATACCGTTCTCCACACGAGGCTACTATGTATATGACGCCCCGTATAAAAAAGAACGGGTCACCAGATATGCACAGTGTGCGCTGCCCTCAGCCCTGCCGTGCTTCCCAGGAACCAACGAAAGTGGCGCAGGCCGCGCAAGTCGCGGAGTATGCCCTCACCTGCGCCGTGCTCCCAGGCGCACACGGACGCGGCGACAATTGCGCAATGGGCACCCTCCGACCGAGCCGCCAGATCTGAAACAAATGCCCGCTGCCCTCACCTCCGCCGTGCATCCCAGGCACCCGCGAACGTTGCGACGGTTGCGCGGTTCGCACCCCCTGGCGGAGTTGCGAAGTCGCAAACTGATCCCCGCTGCCCGCACCTCCGCCGTGCCTCCCAAGAGCACACGAACAACTGCGACAATTGCTCAAGTCGCAGGCCCCGACGGAACCGCGAAATCTCAATGTGATCCCGACTGCCCTCACCTCCGCCGTGCCTCCCGGGAGCCTACGAAGATAACGACGGTTGCGTAACTCGCAACCATCGACGGAACGGCGAGCTCTCGCTTTCATCCGAGCGGCCCTCACCGCCGCCGTGCCTCCCAAGAACCCACGAACGTGGCGACGAGTGCGCGATTCGCAGCCCCCCATGGAGCCGCCAAATCTCGCCTGGATCCGCGCTGCCCTCACCCCCGCCGAGCCCCCCAAGAGTTCACCAAATTAACGACACTTGCGCCAGTTCGCGGCCCCCGAGTGAGCCGCGAGGTCTCAAATGGATAGGCGTAGCCCTCATATCTGCCATGCCTCCCAAGAGTCCACGACCATGGCAACAGTTGCGCGCGCCGCAGCCCCCCACAGAGCCGCAAATCTTATGCATGGATCCGCGCAGCCCTCACCTCCGCTGTGCCTCCCGAAAACGCACAAAAGTGGCGACAGCTGCGCAGTTCGCAGCCCTCCCCAGGGCGCCGCGAGGCCTCGAATCGAACTGCGTGGCCTCCACCTCCGCCGTGGCTTCCGGGGCCCACGAAGTGGCGACGGCTGCGTAGCTCGCAGCCCCCGAGGGAGCCGCGAAGTCTCTCGAATCGATCCTGGCCTCCCTGCACTCCGCCGTGCCTCCCGGGAGCCCACCAAAGCTGCGGCGGCTGCGCTGGTTCGCAGCCCCGCACGGAGCCGCGAGGTCTCAAAGTGATCCCCGCTGCACTCGCCTCCGCCTCCCACGAACCCACGAAAGTGGCGACTACGGAGCAGTTCGCAGACCCCGAGGGAACCGAGAGGTCTCAAAGTGATCTCCGCTGCCCTCACCTCCGCCGTGCCTCCTCAGGAGTCATCGGAAATCGCGACGGCAGCGCCAATTCGCATCCCCCAGCGGAGCCGCAAGATCGCAAACAAATCCCCTCTGCCCACATCCACCGTGCTTCACAGGAGCACGCGAAAGTGGCAACAATTGCCCCAGTTCGCAGCCCCCGATGAAGTCGCGAGGTCTCAAATACTCTACACGGCCCTCACCTCCGCCGTGCCTCCCAGGAGCCCACGAAAGCGGCGGCAATTGTACAGTTCGCAGCCCTCCCCAGGGAACCGCGAGGTCTTAAGTTACGGGCGCTGCCCTCACCTCCGCCGTGCCCCCAAGGAACCCAAAAACGTGGCGACAATTGCGCATGTCGCAGACCCAAGACAACAACGGGGCCTCTGGACTCCATGATCTGCCGTGACGGCAAGTGGGTCCTTATTGTTCCTGTCTGCTGGTCTGTGTTGCCTTAAGGCTGTCATCATGCGTCATCCCACCAAACATTACGCACTCCGCTGCGCAAGGCCGGACCAGCGCAACACCAGCCAGATGTGGGGATGGAACGCCAGTGGAGATTAAGAAAGCGGGCACGATGGACAAGACTGAACGCGGAAACGCCGTGTTTGATCTTGGTCGCAGGTCATCCTGGTCAACGTCAACTCCTGAATCACCCCCGCAAGTCGGCGAAGGCTGGTATGGACCATACCAACATCGGCGTCGACAAGACCCCGCGACATGTTGGCCAAAATCCCCGTGCTCTCCCTCGACAAAACATAAACATAAACTGTTGGCGCTTCGCACGGAGTTCTTGGATTCGCGCTGGACCCCCTGTCCCTGGCGCGCGGAGCGCGCCAGGGCGGCGCCGGAGGCGCCGCCAGGGGGCCCAGGCGCGGATCCAAGAAATCCGCGCGGAGCGCCAGAAACTTCAGTTGATGCGCGGACTTTTCTTCTTCGCAATCAGGGCAGACATATTCGCCCAGAGACCGGGCCGACGCGATCCTGCGACATCCCAACCATGGCCAGCGTGGGGAGGAGGAGGATATTCAGGAGGAGGAGGAGGAGCAGGAGGAGGAGGAGGAGGAGGAGGGAGGAGGAGGGAGGAGGAGGAGGGGGAGGAGGAGGAGGGGGAGAAGGAGGAGGAGGACGAGGAGGAGGAGGAGGAGGAGGAGGAGGAGTACGCAGCTGATGAGCAATGTTACCTGAGTGCACACACACACACACACCTGCCGCGCGCGCCGCGCCGCACACGCATGCACACGACAAAATTGATCGAGGCTGCCCGCTGTCCACGGCCTCAGGCCGTTACCATCTTTTTCCTGGTGCCACGGCAGCACTGCCACGCTCAAAGGCGCGACGCTGTGCGCGGCCACGCGTCAGAGCAGTCGTCCACCACGAGGTCGACGGGGTAGTTCGGCGTCCTGGAGCCCTTCCCACCGATGTTCCCCTCATCACGATTTGAGCACGTCGAACCAGGCCGAGGGCTCGTCCTTCATGAATCCAGCGGGCGCAGTGGCCGACGTGGCCACAACGTCGGGCTGCTTGAACGAGTCCGTGAGGATGTTCTCCTTGGTCTGGTCGTTGATCGCGAGCACGATCATGACCATGTCCTTCTGGTAGCAGTTCTCGAGCCTGCGCTGCCTTACGACGCCGGGCGAGTCGCCAACCACGTCCATGGACGCCGCCTCGGGCGTCTGTCTGTTGGCACGCCCGACCTCCCCCCCCACGAGCGCCTCGACCGTCGCGCAGAACATCGTCGCCGTCGGGGAGCCGAGCTCGCGCAGCGCGAGAGAGGCGGCGGCCGCGTCCAGGTCCGCCAAGGCCGTCGCGGGCTTGTCGTTCGCGTCCTTGGCCAGCTTTGCCCCGTCCTTCATCCGCTTCAAGGCGGACTTGGCGCGGACCGCATGATGGTAGTTCTCCATGAAAAACTCGGGCTCCGACGCGTCGCCCAAGAAGCCGCCGCTGCCACTGCGAACCGCGCACCTGTCCTCAGCAGCGTCGATGATCACCGTGAGGCGGCTTCGTCTCGTACTCGTCACAGCGGTGGCGCAGCGGATATCAGCATCCGTGTTCTCCACCTCCCCCGCCAGCCTGTCATGCGCGCACTCCTCCAGCTGGTCCTTCGGGCCGTAGGCGATCTCCTTCATCGCGTCGCAGCTCATACGAAGCATGGGCTAAGTCCCTTCGTCGCGATCATCAGGTCCCCCCCCCTCCTCCCTCTGCAGGCGAGGGCCCACGGGGGGGGGGGGGGGGGGGGGGCAACACGTGCCACCCCGCCACAGCGGCCCGCGAGCGCACGCCCTCCACCACGGACACCTGGCGTGCGGCGGTCGGCGCCCAGCAGGCCCAGCCCCCCCGTTCTTCTTGTCAGGCGCGCACCCGAACGAGAGGGAGGCCAGGCGCGGTAGGGCCTCCGTCCTCCTCCCCCGTAGCGCCAGCCTGAAGAGCCTGAAGGACACCTCGGCCGTCAACTTGAAGTCCATCAGCGCCTGCACCCGCGCGCAAACGGGGACCTCATAGTTGTCGGGGCTCGCAGTCTCGTCGACGTCCTTCAGCTGCTTGCACCTCTCCTCGGCGAGCTCAGCACGCCACGGGGCCGTCACCAATTCGCCCGCCATGCCACCACTCAGCGGGAGGAGCTCCAGGAGCTGCACCCACTCGGACACCGGCGGCGAGAAGCACGGGTGCGCACGGTAGTTCCAGTTCTTGACGCCAACGCCAGTGCCAGCCAGAGCACGCGACAGCCGCGGGGCCGCCGCCGAGTCCCTCGCCTTCCACGCGCGCGCCAAATCCTCCTCCGTCATCCGCCTCCTCTCCGCCAGGAACTCCCGCCGATGCATCTTCGAGGTCTTCGTGTGCGCCTTGAACGCCACCGCCAGTTTGGCCACCTCCAAAGTCGCTGTCGTGTCGGCCGCCACCGCCGCAGCAGGCACGTCTCCCATCAGAATCCTGCGGGCCTTCAGCATCCTCCACTTCTCATTCGCCATGCAGGCGGCTAGCGCGTTGTACGCAACGGCCTGGGAGAAGTGCATCAGCGCCGTCGTGCGGATCATGTTCATCAGCAGCGCAGCG